GAAAGATATATAAACAAAATATATTATAATTTTAAAATTAATTAATTTAAAATTGTGGGAAATTTTATATATATTACTTAATTCACATACAAAGATTATGTTAAATAAAAACTCCACAAAAAATATATTATTTAACAATTAATATAATATAATTTAATATAATTCCAATTACATTATACTTTTTTCCATATATATTTACTTTAAAATTATTTAAAACCGTGTATCTATTCAATATGGAACCTCCTTGACGCCTCATTATTCTTGTTTATTTTGTTTCGTGAAAACTTTGTATTTTTGGGGTGGAATTCGTGAAAACTTTGTTGTTTAGCGTAATCCGGGTGGATGTGGCGTTTTGTGATTTTGTCCCACCACCTCGACTACTAGACACCACCGCCACACTCTCCTGTCCGGTGCTTTATTTTGGTCAAACCGTCTCTTTGTCTCGGCTCAATGCACCATTATATCTTTGAAATTTCACGTATCTTGACCGACACAAATGCCCTTCTTTAAAATCAGATAAAAATCTAGAATTAAGGGCCTCTTTCATTCTTCCTATCATTTCCCTTCTTCAACTTTTAAGTACCTTAATTTGCTCTAAACTAAAGCAGTAGAAGTTTTAAGCTAGAGGCAAAAGGAGGCGAGGAGAGGTTTAATTGAAAAGAAGAGTGTGAAATTTTAAGGAAAGAAAGTAGTCCAATCTTTTAAGTTAGGTTCAGCTTTAATTCTTATGGCCAATACCAAAGAAATAGGGAATGATACGTAGGTAATTTTTTAATATAAATTTTAAATGCTATTAAATAAATAAATATGTATTTAATTTGATAGTATTAACAACTTAAATAACTCAATGATAATCTCTTTTTTGTTAGAAGTAAGAGGTTTTAAATTTGAGTCACATGACATGCAGATGAGATGAAATAAAAAATGTGAGAAAAAATGTGAGAGGGTTGTCTTCTGTTATACAACCAATATAAAAAAGAAAAATAATAGATTTTACTAAAGTAAAAAAAAAAATTAATTATTAAATGATATGTAAAGTTATAATATATCTAAATACATCTCATTGATGTGGGTCCATTGATATTTTATTTTAGGGCTTGAAGGTGCAAAAATTTTTTTTTTTTTTTTGAATATAAGTGAAATGAGCAAAATTAAAACATTGATGGCCTAAAAAAATATGATCACTCTAGAACATGGATCGGGAAGATGAGCTTGATCACAAGATCCACAACCTAGCCTCTGGTTCGATAAGCCCAGTTTTGAAGTTAGATTTTGTGAAGACTATTCAACTTGATATGGGCTTGATGTCATTGAAGCGATGGACCTTTAAATCTAATTGGGCCCTGCACACACCAGTTACTCTTTCGACGAGGTCATGCAAGATAACAATTCAACTTGTCCATTGGTGGCAGATTAGCCTTCAAACATAACCCGATTTCAGCAGCATGCAACCACTTGACGGATCACATCAGACGGAGCCTTCATTAGGTTGGGATTACAGTTCTTTGTTTTTGGTGCTAATTCGATACTCATATTGAGTTCCAACCAATCTAGAATTGAGTTTCGTTGAATCCCATCAAAAAAACCTTTTTCAGTGCCTATTTCTCTATTTATAAAATTCGAACTCAATACCATACTTAAGGGTTTAAAGAGAACCAAACTCTTTTTACCCGAATTAATAAGTCGTTGGTATTAATACTTTAATCTGTCTGGGATTACAGATCTTAGTTGGCCATTAGGTGGCCTTCTTGTTGGGTGGCAAAGGACAGTAGGACGCATTTCAAAACAAAAGAAAAGCAAAAGAATAATACTTTTTCTTAAATAACTTATACATTGTTTCAAATTTAGAAAACGTGCCTCATATTAATTGATTATCCAGATCAAAATTTGCCCCCAAAAATCCTTTAGACTAACTTATCAATCTCGGCAAAATGAAAAATAA